GGCCGGGCGGCAGGCGGGAGGAGGAGCGGGCGCGGCGGAGGCCCTGCACGTGCCGGCTGCGGGGCCGCCGGCTGCTACTTCTTTTTGGGGAAGAAGCTGAATCTCTTCTCCTTGTCTTTCTTCACGAGGCTGGCGTCGGGGCCGGTGAGGGACGGCAGGGGCAGGCTCTGCGCCTTGACGCGGATGCTCTGGGACTCGTTGATGGCGGTGCTCACGCCCTGCAGCCAGGACAGCATCTCCTCCTGCGGGGCGGGGGGTCAGGGCCCAGTCCGGGGCGGCCAGAGCCCTCCACACCTCCCGGGCCGGGCTGGCAGCGATGGGGGTGCTCCTAGGACTGCCCGTTCGGAGGGAGCCTTGAGGTCGGGTGGCTTGGATCCCCTCCACCTGTCCCCTTCTTAGCCACGTCCGGCTACGCCACCCGCACTTACCTCGTCCTTGCCATGGAAGAGCCACTCACTGCCATTACTCAGCCTGGGAGGACAAAGACAAAGGGTTTCCTGTCATGCGGCCACCTCCGGGGGCCTGGACCTGGGCAGAGGCCTGGATCTTATCCCGCAGTTCCCTGAGCCTAATATCCAGAGCCCTCAGGCAGCACAGCACCTTCTGAGAGAAGTAAAAGTCGGGGCCTCTTTGATTTGAAAATCTCTGAGGAGCAGCTGGGGCCTGGAGTGGTCCCACACAGTGGGCCTCTACCAGGCCACTAAGGCTAAATCAAGCCATCAGCCTGAGGGGTCAGAGGGTTGAGCCCAGGCAAGGGACAGTGGCCAGGAAGCCCTCACCTCAGCTTAAAGACATGCTTCTTCTTCTTGTAGTTGGCAGCAATCTCACAGATCGCATGTCTCAGGGCCAGGGGTTCCTCCCCATGGTAGGGCACCCCCAGGGCCAGGTTCTTGGCATCTTTGTAGAAAGTCAGCTCGCTATTCCTGAGCACGCAGTACAGGTTGTTCCAGGACCTGCAAAGACGCAGACAGGCAGGTCACCCACAGTCCTGTTACAACATCTTTATAATCAATTCCTATAGCTTTACCATTTCTTTTTTTTTTTATTATGCGATTTTTGCCCTGATGAATAGTAATACATTTTTTTGTTGTTTAAAAAAAGGAAATAAAAATCATCCGCATGTAATTTCATTACCAAAAGATAACTATTGTTAACATCGCATGTGTTTCCTTCTAGTCTCTTCACATTTTTGTCTATTCACATAGATAGCTAAAATTGGATTATATTGTATATTCAATCTTATATCCTGCTTTTAAGCTTAACACTTTATCATGAGTATTTTTCCATATCAAATATTTCTTGAAAATAATTTTGAATAGCTATATGGTATCCCATCATATAGATACACAATCCCTTTATTGGTGGACCTTATAATACTAGAAAATTCATCTGCAATTTAAGTAGCAATGTGATGAACATTCTTAGGCATAAATCTTTGCTTGTAATTCTAATCTTACCTTGAGATACATTTCTAAAAGTAAAATTATTGAATTTAAGACCAATAAGTGTAAACTTAACTTTTTGAAGTATTTCTACATCCATTGGCTTATTCGATTCTCACTGCAGAACTATGAAGTGAAGGGAGCCAGGTTTTGTTTCGATGATATATATTTTTTGTTTGATGATATATGCCCAGCGTACTGTACTTGCACTTTGAAAGAAACAGATTTGTGCAAATCAAGGCTTGTTTCAATTGGCGTTTGGTAGGCTCCAAACTGACAGATGGGGAAGCATGTTGCTGCATTTTTACAGTAACAAACACCAAGAAACATTAAACTTTTCTTCCTCTTCTTCATCCCTTCTTCTCCTCCTCCTCTTTATCCTCCTCCTTTCCTTCCCCCTCCTCCCTGCCTCCCTTTTAAGGGCAGGAAGGTAGAGACCTAGCAGGGCACATAGGGAGGAAGTACTAGAAGGTCAGAGACAGAACTTAACCCACACAGAGTTGGCTGCAGAGCCAGTTTTACGAAGCTCACATTTCTGACTCCCAGCTCAGGGATCTTTTCTCTAGGAGGTCTTTGTAGTAAAATCCTGCCTTGAACAAATGAAAACCTCTCTGAGACTGTTTCCCCATCTGGAAAATGGATACTTCCATATCACAGGGTTGTTCTGAAGATTTTATCCGTCCTAATATGATTCCTGGCACATAGTAGCGCTCAATAAATGTTAGTCTCCCCTTTCCTGGTAGAGTCTCCATTTAAGCAAGAAACCTCTTCAGGGCCCCCAAATTGTTCATTTTTGGAATTTGAAACAGCTTTGGAGAGGGCCCCAGGACGTGCTCTGTATGCTTCCAGGTGTACCTGGGAACACAGCTGGCTTCAACCTCTTGGTACTGCTGCATTTCTCTGGGACCCTGGAGTACTGCTAGGAGAAAGAGGCCCCCGAGACCCTGGGCAGAGGCAGCCCTGGACAGACCAAACCCAAGCATATGACTGCCTCAGGGTCAGGAAAGGACACAGCCTTTGAGTCAGTTCCTCAGGGTCATGGTCAATATATGATAGCACTGGAAAGGACCTCCGACAGGCATGTAGGCCATGCCGCCGGCCCCCAATCATCTCCCGTCTCACAGCTAAAGAAACTGAGGCTCAGACTGGTTAAAAAAAAAGTGGGGCTTGGCCAAGGATATGGTATTAATACCGAGGTCTACCTGCTCAGCCCTGGGATTATAGGAATAATAACAGCTAGTGTTCACTGAGCACCTCCTCTGTGCCAGGCACAGCATCTGTAAAGAGATGTACTGTTATCATCATCCCCATTTTACAAATGCGGAAACTAAGAGAGGCTGAGTAACTTGTATGAAGTCATAGGATTTGAACTCAGGACCAGAACTGAAGATGGGTTTATTCCCATCATGCCAGTCCCTGGGCTGGCCCAGAGGGTTGCCCAGGAGCTCTCACAGACAGAGGCACAGGGCGCCCTCTCCCTGCATGCATGCCCATCTTGCCAGGGCTCTATTGGTGGAGAGATTCCTGGGAGTGCCCACCCACCCCCACCCAGTTGCCCCTCCCCCACACACCTGTTGGATGCCTTCTTGTTGGGCCCCTCCAGGTCGTGCTTGCGGCCCAGGTAGCCCTCCATCTGCACGCTGTGCCCATGGTCCCGCTGGGCCGGCAGCGTTGTGGGCTCATCACCCTCGCTCAGAGGTGTGTCCAGGACCTTAAAGAGGGGCTCTGTGGCGGGCCTCTCATCCCCACTGGATTTCTCCTCCTGCCCATCCTTGTGCTGCCCTGGTGGGGGTGGCGGCTGTAGGTCATGAGGCCATGGCCCCTCCTCTTCCCCCTGACAGGAGCATAGGGGAGGAGCACACCTTTCTAGGGGCTCAGGCCTCGGGATGGCAGCAGGCCCTCACCTGAGCCTCCTGGCCCACACTGGCTCTCCCACAGCCTGCTGTGCACACACCTGCTTCCATAGGCCTCTGGCTCCATTTCCAACGCACTCCCCTTTCAGAGAGCAGTGGGGTGGTCCCCTCTCTCCAATCTTACATATCAACAGAAGGTGCTTAGAGAGAGCAGAAGGGGCCTGAGTGTTGATGGGGGGAGGGGTTTCCAATGCTGCAGGCAAAGCTCAGTCTTGCTGCCCTGCCCAGGACCCTACCCCCTGCTTCAGCCAGATACTCCAACTGAGTGACACATGGGCTCTGGCAAGATTCCATATGAAGAAGGTCTTGCTGCTAAGACAAGTTTGAAAACCACTGTGCTGGGATGTCGAACAGGAACACTCCTGGTACCTTCAAAATGTGTCTAAAGCCCTGAAGCCAAGGGCATTAGGTCTTAAGTCCTCTGCACCCTTTATAAAGGGAGAACCCAGACACTCCCAGGCATCATCAGGTTTAACAGGCCCTCCTTCCATCATTTGCGGGGAATTTGTTGGACAGGGCTGTGGTTCCTAACCCTGGCTACTTTCTATGATCAGCTTGGGGGCTTTAAATTTAAAAAAAAACCCACCCCAGTCCCCACTCTCAAGATGTTTACTGGCCTGGAGGGGGTCAGCACATTGGCATTTGTTAATAAGCATTTCATGCTCTCTAATGTGCAGTGGGAGTTGAGAGTCACCGCCTTGGGGAAATGCTGTGGTTTCTACCCCCTGCACCTCCCTGTGGAGGTGGGGCGATCCCTGGCCCCTACCGAGCCAAGTGAGGGGCCTCCCCACTGGAGCCAGCCACTCGCTGTATGAGCTGGTGCTCGCGAGAAGGAGAAGCAGACTTTCTGCTCCCTGGCAGGGCACCTCCTTATGCAGAGGCCTTGCCAATCTGCCCTTGTGCCTGCTGCAGAAGCAGGAGAGGGTGGGACAGACTGGGGCAGTAGGGGGCAGCTAGCCTCCCACTGCCAGAGGGAGTGGGGGTCAGGGGGTGGGGAGGGGAAGAATGAGTTGGTCTCCTAAGTGCCAAATGAGCACCAAGAAAGGCAGCCTAGCTTGAGCCATCTGGCCAGAACACTGTCCTAAAGGCCTGCTGGAGACTTACAGCATGAGATGGGAAAGTGCCCCAAGCAGGCCATGTCTGGATGCCTGCAGGACCAAGGACGTGGACAGCCTGGGAGGACCAGAGCCACCCCAGGCAGTAAAGAGGCTCTGTTCCTTTTTCTACTGCCTCCTCCTTGCCCCAACAGCTGGGGAAGGAGATCCAGAGAGTGCTGGGGAGAAGAGGAAGGAGCCAGGAGAGAGCGGGCCATGTTCTCCTCCTCACTGTGGGTCCTTTAGACCAGGCTCAGACCATGGGAGGATGCGGGCACCATACTGGACATCAGGCTGAAGCTTTATTTTGTGGGTGGCTGGCCTGTACAGGGATCCGAACCCTTGACCTTGGTGTTATAATACCATGCTCTAGCCAGCTGAGCTAACAGGCCAGCCCTCAGGTTGAAGCTTTAAACTGAAACAGACTGGCTAGACTTTTTAACAGCTGAAAGTGACCAGGGTCTGCCTGAGGATGCCTTAAGGAACGGGAAGTGGAGGCTCAATGGACATGTCTGAAGGCAGTGTTTGGAAGAAAGGTAAAGCTGGTCCTGTTTGTATCCTGTCAAATTAGGACTGTTCAACAGGCAGGTAATAAGTTGGGTTTCCAGTGAGATTTCATTAAAAGAAAGGGTGATGGGGCTAGAAAAGTTTGGAAACCACTTTTCTAGTCTAACACTTTCAATCTATAGTTTGAAAACCAATGTTCAGAGAGGTTAGGTGACTTGCCCAAGGTCACACAGCTAATAGGTATAGTAGGCAATTAGGAGCATGCAGTCCAGAATTGCACAGACCTGAGTTTTTATCCCATCTTCAGGGTGCTCTTCTTTTCCTGCCTTAGAACCCCTTGAGGGTTGTGGCCGGGTCGCACTCATCTGTATCCCTATTGCAGTGTTTGTAACTCAGAGTGTTTGCAGTGATCCAGCATTGGCCACAAGGATCTGGAGGCCCCAAAGCCCTGCCTGGATCACCCTTTAGCAGGGAAGAAGGGCAGGAGTGGCAGGAATGGGACTGGGAGCCTGGGCTTGGGGTCCTTCTGTGCACCCACTCAGGCCAACCATCTGACTTGGATATAAAGCCCAGGAGGTGGATTATTAAGGCAGAAAGTGAAGCCTCCTTTCATCCCCCACCTCTCCTCAAGCCTAGCTGGGCCGGCTCTTCCTCCAGGAATTGGGGGATTCCAGAGGATGGGGCGTGGGCTGCACTGCTGCTCCTGGTGATGGGCCAGAGCCGCCCCTGCACCTGCCTCAGGGGAAGCCCACCAGACCCTCACAGCCACATTCGCCCTGTTTACCCGGTCTCTACCCTCCTTGGACTGGTTTTGCTAGATACCTCTGTGTTCACATTTTCTTCCTATATTTTTACTTTCATTCCATTTTCCTTCCTTTAGGAAACTGTCCTCTGAAAATAAAGATGGGTTTTTCCAGGACTGACTCCCAAGTCAATGCACCCTCCTTCTTTTTCTTCTTAATAGTGCCTGGCCCACATTCTTTGGCAGGGACACTCAGAGGCCATGGCCAGTGTGTGTGATCAAAGGTTATATGGCTGGGCCCTGGGTTGGCTTTGGAAAATGGGGGGTTTCTAATGTATGCAAAGCTTTCTTCTGTGTTCCTGACTGTTCATGTGGAGACATTTTATAAAGTATCCTGTCCCCTCCACGCTGAAGGCCAAGACCTGAGAAGGGGAAGGCAAGAAAGAGAGTGGGAGAGGGAGGTGTTGGTGGCTGCTGTCCCTTCCCAGGCCCGGGGCTGACAGGGCTCCCCGTCCTAGCTGGGCTTGGGGAGGGGACACAGATGAGAAAGATGGGCATGGAAGGAAGGTGGGGTGCAGGAGACAAAGGGGTTTTGGGACCAATCCCTTCTTCCCTTCGTCAGCTCTTGAGGGAGGCTGGCCGACCCTGGTGAGGAGGAAACAACAGGGACTGGAGGGGGGAAGGGAGGACAAGTGATCTGTCGTCAGGAAGTCACTGAGCATTCCTGGCTCTATCAGTCAGCAGGAGTGACCACAGTACGTACTTCACAGGTGGTCTGTGAGTGAGACAGTGTAAGTGCTGCTTCTCTCACGGGCCTCCACCCCTGGCTATCTTCCACCTTCCTCCTTGGCACTTTGCTGAGCAATGATTGTGGCCAGTGTCCTGTGTGGCTAGCATGATGATCTCAAACACCCTTTTATCCCTGGAGTAGGGGATGCTCAGGACTGAGAAATGGAGAAGGGGGATTCTTAGCCGCTGGCCGGCAAGGCCTCACCCCCTCCTTCCTCAGCCATTTCCAGTTGGGACATTCAGAGGCTCCAGACAGGAATGGGGTAACCAAGCAAGCAGGTAAGCCCTTCAGGGCAGGACAGAAACAGCCTGAGGCCCCACCACAAAGCTTAGAGGGGGAACTGAAGTGGAGGGGCCCCAGAAGGCGAAGGCAAAAGTCACCAGATAGGGCCAAGGACAACAGTATGCTACTTAGTGGAAGATTCTGGTGATTCACAAGTAGATTTTTACGAAGAGCTCACAACTTTGTAAAGAAAAGACTTTAAGGAAGACTATGTCTATCTATCCATCTACATCCAGGTGGTCAAATCCTTTTCTGAAACAAAAACATCTTAAAAAATTACTTTTTTTTTCTTTTAGCAGCTGGCCAGTACAGGGATGGAACCCCAGACCTTGGTGCTGAGCTAACTGGCCAGCTCTAAAGAAATTACTCTTGGGGTTCCAATCTGCACAGGGAAAGCTCCCAAGGCAGTGGAGAGCAGCAAGCCTAAGGGACAGCCAGATGCCACCACTGGCCTCCTTGCTCCATGGGTAAATCCTGCGCATAGCCCTGCTGTAAGCATGTGAGCCGGTGTGTGACAATATTGATTTAGCAACTCATAAGAGATAAGGAATGTCCCTGGGGCCTTTCATTTCTAGCCATGCCACTGGCAGGACGTTGTAGGTAGAATCGGCAATGGGGACCTCATTGGGGAAGCAGGCCCTGTTGGGGGGAGGCTGGGGTCCGTGAGTGATGGAGCAGGGTAGATGAAGCTGATGTGAGACAGCAGGTTCTCAGAATTCTGCAGCTGGGGGTCACTGGATTCAGCCTCTCCTATTATGCGTGGAAAAAGCGGATTCCAGAAAAGTTCAGTGACCAGCTGGGATCACATGACAAGTCAGCAGTTAACCTGGAGCAAGAACCCATGGCTTCTGCTTCCCTGTCCTCACAGTGCCTTTCAAACCTGGAGGCGACACAGCACAGGACAGCTGGCTGGTGCTGGGCACACAGGGTGGTCAGGGAATGGACAGAGGTAAGTGGCTGGGCAGAGACCCACCCATGCCCCAGCTGCCTGACCCCAGGCTCCACATCTGCCCACAGTGAGCATGAGGCCCTTGATGTGGATGATTCGTCCCTGCATCTTTCTGGGCCAGATCCATCAAGGACTTCCCAGCTGACCCGCTGAATGATGAGATCATGAGGGGTGGAGCCAGGGTCAGGCTGGCAGCATGGTTTGGGCAGAAGGGCCCACCTTCCCCAGCCCTAGGGGTAAATAGGATGGGGAAGAGAAGGGAAGAGGGACAGTGCTCCTGCTGCCCCTGGAACTATGCCGTGGTCTGAGAGGAGATTCTGCCTTGCTCACCAGGCACAGTGATCTGTGGACAGAGTGCCAGGAGGGGTGATGCTGGCTGAGGGGGCTGGGCCCGTAGCTGGCCTTCATGTGGCTGCAGTGTGGCTGTAGGGACAGGTACTGGACAGATGAGATGATCTGAGCCTGCCTTCTGTCCTCCAAGCTGTGGGGCAGAGGGTCTGCTGCTGCAGCCCCCGGGTCATTAGGAGGATGCACAGATCCCGCCTGCACTGCTGAGG